GGAACGGAGGACTTGGATAAAGTTTGGCAGGTGGTCAATTTTATTCAAGATGAAGAGGCATTGCGGGACATGGAAGATATGGAGGGGTATGAGAAGAAAGACTGGGCAGAGTTGAAGAAGGAGATGCTGGAGAAGTGGGGGCAGAGCGAGCAAAGATACTGGGAAGCGGATCTAGACAGGCTTGTGGAGGAGATGGCGGAGAAGGGCGGAATTCAGATGCCGGAACAGTATGGGAAGTATGTTTTATCGTTTGATCGCATTCTGAAGTATCTCAATTGGAACAAGATGGTTACCAATACTCTGGAAGCGGTGAAGTAGACCTTCATCAAGGCTTTTCCAAAGGAGATGCGGGATGAAGCGGTCTGTCAGCTCTTTGAGCGGAATCTGGTGAAGAGGTTGAAGGATGGGAGTGTGATTGTGCTGCCCGAGATGAAGGAGATCCTAAAGGCTCTCCTGTGTGAAATGGACATGCATTGGGATCGGTTTGGAGTAAGGAGCCGGTGTTGGTATTTAAAGGAGGTTGGTGAAGTGGCGGATACACTCAAGGAGCTACGCCTGTTCATCCAAAAGATGGTGAATCATCCTTGGAAGCAACCGGCGGGTTGATCTGCAGCAAAAACTTCCCCTGCGGCGGTGGAGATGGTGGCAAGGACCACTGACTTGCAGTTATTGCGGGGTGTTGGGGCACTTTAAGGCTCAGTGGAAAGAACTCACCACAGACATCAAGACCTCAGGGGTTTGTCCGGTGATAAGGGACTACTATCTGGATGGAAAAAAGATAGAGGCGGCTGTTCCGGGTGACAAAGTGTGCAAAAGGAGGAGTACCAAGCCTTCCGCAACTGCCAAGGGCAAGGAAGCTGTCAGCGTGGGTGATGCCAAGAGCTGGTCTCTTCTAGCTACACCAGGTGCAAACTAAGAGAATGGTATGTACAAGTGTGGGTGACACTTGGAATGGGGAGTTTTTGATATAAAGGAAAAGAGAGAATAAAAACTGTTAGGTTTTTATGAGTTACAGGGGTTTTTGTGAGGCACTCAAATGAATCAGGACCTGTTAAACAGGGTTATTTTTGATGTACCTGATGATCTGGTCCTTTGTGTAAAGGAGTATGCCCAGACAAAATGCCTACAACTGAAGTATCAAGGAAATATTACCTACTTAGTACTATTTCCAAGCCAAGGGGACTTCAGGTGGGTGAAAAATGGTCTGGGAGCGCTCAAAAAACTTGGTAAAAGGTTTTGGAAGAGTTCTGGGGAACAGTTGTTGGTTGGGTTGTAGATATTCAAGACAGAAACAGTGGCCAAAAACAGGTAACAAACTGGTTGTTGGAGGTGGTTATTTCTGGTAAGTGCTAATGAAGATGGGGAATCAGAGTTTGTGGTCAAGAATGGCTCCTTATATACTCATTCTGCGCTCTTGGAGGTGAACTCAGAACTCTGTTTGGCTTGTGCAAGCCTCCTACCAGGTATTGGTGACCTGTAGCACTGCCTAGGCACCTGTAGTCCTTAGTTACAGGTGTCAGAGGGCTGAATTGAGGCTTGTAACACACACTAAGGGGTGCTTTGACATACCTGCAGCCAGGGTTTGGTCACTGAGCCCCTTTAATGACCAGTGGGCTGGTCCTAACAAGGCGTAGTTAGCTAAATTGGGCCAAAAAGGGCCACAAATGGCTTTTGCCCAGCCATTTACAGTTGTTGTGACCATGTAGTTAAGGTTTCAATGATTTCAACCTTATTTTTAGATTCTTCTCAAACTGCATGAAACTTATTTACATGTGTAGAACTGTCACACCATGTAGTTGTTATGGGTGTTCTGGGGGGAGCAGGAAGGGATCTTCAGGGTTCTGGTTGGTGATGGTAGATTGCAAGATGAGGAATGTACAAGGTTCGGATCTCGAACGAACTCCAAGTTCAAAGTTTGTGACATGTACATAACAGGCTCTCTACATATGTAACGTCCCCAGTTCCAGTCCTCCACAGCTCATAACACTATCCCCCCTTTAATGCCCAAGCCGCCATTGTTGTTGTCCTAAAAAAATTTAACTATGGATAAAAAATAAAAGAAAAAAATTCCTCCTCTTCTGGCTCTGCATTCTTTCCCCGGGCAGCATTAAAAAACCCAGTGGGAAAAAGCTTGCCCTCTCACTTCATTCTCCGTGACCTCTTGTGTCTTGACGCCTCATCCGGAAACTTGATGTTGAATTCGGCGACCAGTTCTTGACAGTGTTCCAAGTTGACCTCGGGTTCCCACGAGTTCTCCTCCGGTCCAAAGCCTTTCCAGCTGACCAAGTATTCGACCTTCTTCCCCCTTCTCCGACAGTCCAGTACGCCTTCCACTTCCCACTCCTCCTCATTGTTGACCTGTACTGGTTCTGGTGATGGATGGCGCCTTCCAGCGATGGTTTCCGGGTTGTGCTTCCGCAGTACTGAAACATGAAACACCGGGTGAACACCCTGCATGGATAATGGCAAAGTCAGCTTGTACGCAGATTGGGATATTTTCTTAGAAATTTGGAATGGTCCCAGCCATCGGTGGTCCAGCTTGGGGCTGGGTCTTGTTGTCGAAATATTCTTGCTGTTCAACCAAACCTCCTCGCCAACGTTCCAAATTGGGGTGTCCTTTACTCCTTTGTCGAATTGGGTCTTCATCGATTCTTGAGCTGCTTCTAGACATAACTTGAGTTCTAACTGGACTTCATCAATTTGTTTGAGTCGCTCTTCAACCGCCGGTAGACACTGTTCACTTGATGGGATCCCGCCGTATGAAGGATTGAAACCGTAGTTTGCCTTGAACGGTGAGACTCCAATTGAGATGTGATCATTGTTGTTGTAGGCAAATTCTGCCGTCGCCAAAAGGGGTTCCCAGTTGTCCTGTCTGTACTGAACAAAGTGCCGTAGGTACTGCTTCACTGCCTTATTTGCGATTTCGGATTGCCCGTCAGTTCAAGGGTGGTAGGCAGTCGAAGGGTGGAGCCGGATTCCAAGTTGCTTGTCCAATTCTTGTGTGATCTGAGAGATAAAAACACTTCCTCTGTCCAAGACAATTGTCTTTGGTGTGCCGTGGAGTTTCCAAACCTGTTTCAACATAAGATCTGCAAGCTGCTCAGAGTTCATGGTCTTGCTGCAAGGCAGGAAGTGGGCCATTTTAGTCAGTCTGTCAATCACAGTGAGGATACTGTCACAATTGTTGGATAGGGGAAGGTCTGTTATCAAATCATAGCTGATGTCCGTCCACGGGCCTGCAGGGATGGGCAACGGTTCCAACATCCCAAATGGTTTCTGGGTTGAGGATTTGACCCCGAAGACAAGAGTCGCAGCCGTCCACGTAGCGGTTGACAAAGCTTTTCATGGATGGCCACGTGAAGCTGCGGCGTATCAGCAAGAGCGTTTTTGATCTTCCTGGGTGTCCTGCTAACTTGCTGTCATGGCGGCTCCTCAGAATTTTGGTCTTGAGGTCGTCATTCCGGGGTACCTCAATCCGTCCGCTCCTGTAGAGCACTCCGTCCTTCACCGAGTAATGCTTGGTGGCCTCCTTCATTCTACTGGACACTGGGTTCTCACAGGCTGAAATCAATTCGGTCAGTCTGGAATCAGATGGAGTCAGAGATCGGATTTGGCTTATCAGTTTGCTGTCTGTTGGGATATCCTCTGAAGGAGTGTTGGGCTCCTCCACACCAAGAATGTCCACTTGGAACCAATGTTTGGCGTCATCCAGATCCACAGACTCGTCTTCAAACCAGCAGTCAAATTCAGCCACTTCAGCGAAAGTGTCGGGGGTGATGTTCTCGGGTCGCAAAAGTTGTCCAAAGGTGAGCTTGTCCTCCTTCGAAGGCGCCAGGTCGGGTCGTCTGGACAGAGCATCCGGTTTGGATGACTGTCGGCCCGGTCGGAAAACAATCTCAAAGTCGAAGCATCCCATGGTTTCGGCCCATCTCGCTTGCCTCCTTGTCAGTTGCTTGGTTGTCATGAAGCTTTCAAGGTTCCGGTGGTCGGTGTAGACAATTGCTTGTAGTCGATTCGGGTTGCCCTCTAGATAGTGACGCCATTCCTTGAAAGATTCCACAATTGCCAGCAATTCCTTGTCAAAAATCTCATAGTTCTTCTCGGATTGGACCAGTGATCGTGATAAATACGCCACCGGGTGAAGTTCTTGATCCTTGTCGCAGATTTGGGATAAGACGGCACCAAGTGCAAAGTCCAAGCAATCACATTCAAGGACAAAAGGCCTGTACGGGTTGGCTATCTTCAGTACTGGCGCCATGGTGAACACGGTTTTCAGATTTTCAAAGGCCTTGTTGCAACGGTCGTCCCAGACGTAGGGAGTTTTGTCCTTTGTCAAGTCGTGGAGAGGTCGGGCTATTCCTGAAAAGTGGTCAATGAATTTCCGGTAGAAGTTTGGGAAGCCAATAAAACGCTGTAGTTCGGTCACATTCTTGGGCGGTGGCCATTCGGATACAGCTTTGACTTTAGTCGGGTCCATCCTCAGCCGGTTACATGATATCAACAGTCCCAAGTATTCCACTTCTGGTCGAGAGAATTCACATTTTTCCGGTTTCAGCCAAAGTTGATGCTTGCTAAGTGTCTCCAATACTCCCATGACAGCCGCTTGGTGGTCAGTTCCCTTCTGCATATAGATCATGATGTCGTCCAGGTAAGCTGCCGTGTCCTTCCCAATCCGTCCCAACAGGATGTCTTGCACCTTCCCAATCCGTCCCAACAGGATGTCTTGCATGAAATATTGAAATTAGCCTGGTGCTCCTGTTGGTCCAAATGGCATAGTCAACGGTGCAAATTGTCCTTGTCGACAGACAAAAGCCAGCTTCTCCTTGTCACCCTCTGCTACACGTAGGTTTCCGTAGGCGTTTCTCAGGTCGAGCTTGGTGAAAGTGTCAGCGTCAAGTAGGCTATCAACCAGGTCCATCGTCAGAGGTAGGGGGTACTTGTTCTTCACTGTAACCGCATTGAGCTTCCGGTAGTCAAAAAATGGGCGTAAGTTGCCATCTTTCTTCCCGGTGAACAGCACTGGTGTTGCCCAGGGCGAAGTGGTTTGTCTGATGTTGCCGTTTTCTAGTCCTTCAGTGATCAGGGTGTTGAGTGCTTGGTTTTCGGCGGATGACAGGGGAATGATCCTACTTGTTTGGGGCAGGGCTCCAGGCACAAGGTCTACTCAAAAGTTGTATATTCTTGAGTTTCTGGGCACTGGACTTGCGGAACATGTTGATATACCGGTGATAGTGGGTTGGAACTAGTTCTTCTGCCGTCTTCACAGGGGTCTTGGCCTTGCTGTCCGCCGCGAGTTGAGCCGATGTTGACCAAGAGGCTTTGGCAGCGCTGACATCTGCGGTTGGAACAAGTTCTAGGAGAGGAAGAGGCTTGCCAGCTGTTTCAACAGAATTTATGGAAGGGACCGCAGCAAACTCACATTGCGGGGGTGTTAACGTGTCAGAAACACACACCCCCTTGCCAAAAATCCTAGCTTGCATCATGGGCTCCACGCCAATAGATGAGGCCTTTGTTGGAATTGGCAAAACTGGCTCGGCAGTTGCAATGGTCCTGTCTTTGGTGGTTGAGATCCGGTAGGTGGTGCTATGTCCTAGGAAGGGAAGAGGCTTGCCAGCTGTTTCAATAGGAATTTTGGAAGGGACCGCAGCGAACTCACATTGCGGGGGTGTAAACGTGTGAGAGACACACACACCCTCGTCAAAAATGCTAGCTTTCCTCACGGGCTCCACGCCAAAAGGTGAGGGTTTTTTTGGAATTGACGAAGCTGCATCGACAGCTGCAAAATCCTGTGGGGTTTTCCTGAATTTCCGGGCAGTCCAATCAATGAGGTGTCCATGCTTACAGATCCAAGGCATTCCAAGGATTCCGTCGTAAGAGTCTTTCAGGCGAGTGATGATGAATGGGGAAGGAGATGGGTTGGTGCCGAGAGTCAGGTGGATATCAAATGAAGAACGTCTTGAGGAACCGTCAAAACCAGAGATGGTATGTTGAGAGGGTCTGGCAACATCAAGGAGTCCCGTAGACTTGACTCGCCAATCACGTCATGGGTTGCTCCAGAGTCAATGAGAAAAGTAGCGGGAGGGAGTGGCAATGGGGTTGTGGCTCAAGAATGTTTGGGTGGCACAATGGGCAAAGAAATAAATAAACGCGGATCAATTTGATTTCTTGAAAAAATTTCACTGGCGCCAATGCTAACAACAAACAACTCTCCACTGCTCAGGATAGGCATATCCTTCATTCCTGAGATCCTCCATTTTTTGACGACTCCGCTCTACTGCCTCCTGCCTTCAACTGTTTGACCTCTTCTTTGAGTTCGGCGATCCGGGACTTCTCCTTCCCTTTCCCCTTCTGTCCACGGTCCGGGCAATCCCTCAAGATGTGGCCTTGGTTCCCGCATCGGAAGCACTGGCCCGCTTGCATCATCCTGGTCTTCTCTGCATCCGAAAGGTGGCCACGCATGACTGATAAGTCCATTGCATTGGGGTCCGGGGTCTTGGCCGTCTCAGTGGGTGCTAGGCCGTGGAGTTCATTGTCGATCTGCAGGGCCAGGGTGGCGATGTCGGCCAGTTCGGAGAATTCGGTACGACTCATCAGCAACATCAGGCATATTTGGGATTGCAGGCCTTGTCTGTACTGGCTGACGAGGACGGAGGGAGCCCAGCCGGTGTTGTGGGCGTGCAGGTTGAACTGGTGGGTGTAGTGAGAAACCGACTTGGTCTGTTTGAGCGCTCGTAGGGCTACTTCCGCCTTGGTCTTCTTCTCGGTGTCGCAGTACATGGCGGTGAACTGAGTGTTGAAGTCGTCTTTACTGATAGCTTCAGTATTGCTCATCACCTTCTTCATCCACGGTTGGGCTCAAGAGCTAGCCGGTCATGTCAGATAGGACAACACGAACACCATGATGGCGCGGTCGGTGCCAAAGAGGTGTCCGTTGGCCAGGACATAGAGGTTTACCTGGTTGATGAAAACCTCCGCTTTAGCCCATGGGTGCCATCGAACTTGTCAGGGACACCAATCTTCGGGCCTTTGGCCGGCGGGGCTGGTCCTTGCGGTTTATTGTCGGTGTTCTTCAGGGCCTTCGCCAATTGGGCCTCCTTTCTGGCTAAGCGCTCCTCCGTCTCCTTCCGGACCTTGCGTTTTTCCTCGACCACGGCCAAGAGTTGGGACAGTTGCGCCTGGACCTCGACGAGCTTGGCGTCCTTCTCGTCTACGTCCATAGCAAAACAGTACGGGGCAGCTCACAGAGTGGCAATTAATGCTTTGACGGTGTGTAGTGACTTCGGAAGGTGCAACTAAAATTGTGGAGGCTTACTTTTGTACTTTTACGCCTCGCCAAACGGCTCGTGTGAGCTCTCTTCGGGGATCTGGGGTGTCTTGGGGGGGTTCTGGGGTCTTTCAGGGGGTGTTCTGTGTTTTCGGGGCAGTAGTTGGGGGGTCTTGGGTCTTTCGGGGGTTTTTTCTGGGGGGTCTGGGGTTCTGGGTGGGTTTGGGGGTCTTTCAGGGGTTCACAGGGTTCTTTCTGGGGGTTCAGGGGTCTCACAGGGTTCCTTGGGGTTTCTCTGGGGGTCTGGGGGACAGGGGTCTAGTTGGGAGGCTAAAACTGGTAAAAAATTTTGCCAGGGGTCTCCCCTGGGCGTCGCAAAGTGGCCTTGGGCGGCTCTGGGGCGTCTCAGGGCGCGATGGGGGTTCCTTAGGGCTCTGGGGTGGTTCTGTAGCGTCCTAGTGCGCTGCGCTGCGTTACTGGGGCTGGGGTGGGGCTCTGGAGTGCTTTGCTGCGCTTTTGGGGCCTCTCTGGGGCTCTGGGGCTTCGCCAAACAATCGGAGGGTCCTTTCGGGTTGTCGGACAAGCAACAGAGGGTCTAGGAGGGTTCCTGAAGCGAGTAGGAACGTTCCGGAGCAGATTCCAAGCGTTCCGAGGCAAATCCGAGGGCGCGAGGGGTCCTCCGAGGGTCCGGCGATGCTCCGAATGATCCGAACGACACGGACAATCCACAACAATCCAGCAATAAAAAAACGACTCCTGGGGGTCCTGTGAGTTCTGTGAGGGGTAGGCAGGGAAGCAGGGAAGTGAGTAACCAGGTTGAGAGGTAAGATGGATAAGGTTTGAGGGGTTGATTTTCAAGGTTGGAGGGAGAGTTTTCTGAGGTGATTTTCAAGGTTTGATGGTCGGTATTCTGGGTGTTCGGTCCTGGTCTCCGAGTATGTTGATCTTGCAATATGTTATGGGTGTTCTGGGGAGAGCAGGAAGGGATCTTCAGGGTTCTGGTCGGTGATGGTAGATTGCAAGATGAGGAATGTACAAGGTTCGGATCTCGAACAAACTCCAAGTTCAAAGTTTGTGACATGTACATAACAGGCTCTCTACATATGTAATGTCCCCAGTTCCAGTCCTCCACAGCTCATAACAGTAGTACAATGTAACTGGGAGGGTTTCTAGCAAAATGAACAAGTGTCACTCAGAGTACACAGAAGTACATGAAGGAGTGATAATTAAGGGGTACCGTAGGTTATTTTGCATGTAAATTAATAATCTGAAATAATATTCTAATTTTTGCTTAAGGTTCAGAAGGCATTTCTAGATTCTTGTTAAAAATGTTTATTTATAAATGTTTTTAGTTTATTTTTATGTTTTCTATTATGATTAGTAAAACTTAATGCAATGAGTAATAATGTCTCTATTATAGTGATTCCACTTATTTCAATATTAATGTTTTATATGTACATATGTAATAATGTTTTTTATGTTATGTACAGTGCCTAGACAGTGAAAAGTGGCGGCTTATTTTAGATTCCAGAGCTCTGAAACACAAACTTGAAGTCATGAGACTTGGTCAGGTGGTGCATAAGAGCTCCCAAAAAATGAATATGAAATAATAAAAGCAAAAAATAAAGTTTGAAAATTTGTGAAAAATAGAAAATAAACTCAATTTTTTTCAAAAGCTTTGATATTCATTTTGGGGGAGTGGGAGTGCTGAGAGAAAGAAAGAATGGAATGTGGGAAGAATGATTAGAAATGAAAAAAATTGGAACCAAAAAAGGTTTAGCCAGGTTGGTGGTCCAGATTGGAGCCAAAACAGTAAATTCTAGTGCTTTGCTGCAATGTGGGCTGGTGAATGCCCCACTCAACAGCTGTTTGAAGCCATCTGAAAACCAGGTTTTCCAAAATTTTAATTTATAATCATTCTTCTCATTTCCCAATCTTTCTTTCTTTCAGCACTCCCACTCCCCCAAAATGAATAATAAAGCTTTTGAAAAAAATCAATTTTATTTTTTATTTTTCCATGATTTAAAATTTGTGTTTCAGAGCTCTGGAATCCAAAATAAGCAGCCACTTTTCACTGTCTAGGCACTGTACCTATAAAATAGACATTAATTACATATGCTATGGGGGTAGTATGTGTAATAATGTCTCTGAATATTTTATATGCTATGGTCAGGCTGTCTCTGAATAGTAGCAGGCTGACAATAGTGGAATGAGGATCTGCGCGGACTCCTCCAGTGGTTGCTGCGGTGTGGCGGCAAGAGCGCACCTTGACCAAAGCTTTGGCTGGTTTGTTTGGGCGTATGCAGAATGCTTGCGGCTGATGTGGAAAGCATGCGGAGCTGACGCTACACACGCAAGCTGAGGAAGCAGGAAAGCGGGGAAAAGCAGGCCGAATGCGCAAGGTTCCGAAGAGCTTGCTGCGGGGAATCTGGGCACTGGCGGACACCGGAATTCACAGCCGACTGCAGAATGGGGTTCAGCGTATGCTGCGGAGGGGCTACAAAGGAGTGGGGGGCACCAAGGGGCAGAAGCAGGGTCCGGAGCGGGCCAGCATGGGCGGCCGGAGGAGTACCTGGACCGACAGGTGTTGGAGAGGTGACGAGCGGAGTTTGAGGGGACAGCCTCGGCAGATGGGAGGGGCACCTCGAGGGGTGTCACAGTACCTCCGGTTGTTTTCATCAGTGAGGGTGATTCTGGATTTCTCGGTGGCATATGGCACAGTTGTGGAACGGTGGAATTTACAAGGGAATCTGGGCATTGTAGATGATCTGTAATTTATATTAAGATTGCATAATTATTATTCAGCAGTGAGTATTTACATCATAAATTTCTTTCATGACGGATATATAATTCTTACATAAAAATACCAGGCCAGTGGAATACAAGATACTAATTGCTCGCCAGAAATCCAACATGGAGGCGTAATGATTATACTCTGCAGAGGACCAAGTAAAACCAAGGAGATGTCAGTACTCATGTTCATTTGGTTGCAAAATTAAGGGGACAGCTGGGATGTGTGCTCTCTCAAAGCTCATCAGCCTCACTCTCTCTCAAAGCTCATAAATGGCATGAAAGTTGAATTACATTGGAGACCTCACATTACCTTGAACAGGGCCGGATATGTGGCCCTGTTCCCCTCGGCTCTTTATCCCCAACAGGGCCGGATATGTGGCCCTGTTGCTCCTCTTAATAGTCCCTGAGCCCTCTGGACATGCCAGAGGGCTGTAGGACCCTCTAACAAACGCTTGATCAGGCGGACCAAGCGATTAAACGCTTGATCAAGCCATTAACCGCTTGATCAAGCGATTAAACGCTCGATAGAGGGTTTGTGCAGGGGGTAGAGAGGAAGAAGGGGGAGAGAGAAGGGGAGAGGGGAGCAAGGGGAGAGAGAGGGGAGAGGGGAGGGAGAGCGATGAGGACATGCAGGGGTAAAAAGACTTACCCTTGCAAGTTCCTCAATGACCACGAAGCACAAGGTATTAAGCGAGATGAGACGAGGATGAAGATCCACCGGCGAGCTCAATTGAGCTAACGTCCATGTAATGAAGATCAACAAAAAAAACGAAGTACGGAGCGGCGAGAGAATCAAGGCATTCTGGTACGTGATGTGACATGAAGATGTGAATGTATCCTGAAACATGTAGATTGAAGATCCTGCATGATAGAACCTTGAAAAAATACAATTGAAGAATCTGGAG